AGTGTAGTAGTTATTAAATTAACATTGCCCCTCCCCCAAGTACCACTGGGCCAAGTACCAGAGTAGTCACATGGGAATTATCAGCCATCTGACTCATCTTCCTTTGTTACAAAATATGACAGAGGATGCCAATTTAAATCATTGTCCAAAGTCATGGAGGTCATCAGTGGCAAAGTTGAAACAGCCACCCAGTTCTATCAACATGCAGTCCACAGTTATATTCCCACCAAACAAAACGACCTCCAGAATCTATTTTTGCTGAATACACAGAAAGCTAACACCCCTCCCCGTTTTCAGCCCCCACACCCCACTCTCATCCTGAGTAGCATTCTCACCAGCTCCATGTCTTCACCATATGGTGGGGGCCGGTGGAGGACAGATCCTAGGAGTCCCATCTACAGTCCAGCTAAAACTCAGAGAAATGAAGAGCTTTGCTGTGGTGGAAGCTAGCCTGTCCCAAACCCCCAGCCCCACCTGACTTCTTTCCAGTGTATCGCACCTTTGACAGCCTGTCTTCCCGCTTGCCTTTGTAGGTTTCACAGCAGCAGCCTCCCTGGTATCCCTGGCTTGGGCCTTGGCCTCCTACCAGAAGGCCCTCCGGGACTCTCGCGATGACAAGAAGCCCATCAGCTACATGGCCGTGGTCATCCAGTTCTGCTGGCACTTCTTCACCATCGCGGCCAGGGTCATCACCTTTGCCCTCTTTGCCTCGGTTTTCCAGCTCTACTTTGGGATCTTCATTGTCCTTCACTGGTGCATCATGACCTTCTGGATCGTCCACTGTGAGACGGAGTTCTGCATCACCAAGTGGGAGGAGATCGTGTTCGACATGGTGGTGGGGATTATCTACATCTTCAGCTGGTTCAATGTCAAGGAAGGCAGGACACGCTGCAGGCTCTTCATTTACTATTTCGTGATCCTTCTGGAAAACACAGCCTTGAGTGCCCTCTGGTACCTCTACAAGGCTCCCCAGATCGCGGATGCATTTGCCATCCCGGCGCTGTGCGTGGTCTTCAGCAGCTTCTTAACCGGCGTGGTTTTTATGCTGATGTATTATGCCTTCTTTCATCCCAACGGACCCCGATTCGGGCAGTCACCAAGCTGTGCTTGCGAGGACCCTTCTGCTGCCTTCACTCTGCCTCCAGACGTGGCCACGAGCACCTTGCGGTCCATCTCCAACAACCGCAGTGTCGCCGGCGACCGCGACCAGAAATTCACAGAGCGAGATGGGTGTGTCCCTGTCTTTCAGGTGAGGCCCACGGCCCCATCCACCCCATCCTCTCGCCCACCACGGATTGAAGAGTCCGTCATTAAGATTGACCTGTTCAGGAATAGGTACCCAGCGTGGGAGAGACACGTTTTGGACCGAAGCCTCCGAAAGGCCATCTTAGCCTTTGAATGTTCGCCGTCTCCTCCGAGGCTGCAATACAAAGACGATGCTCTCATTCAGGAGCGGCTGGAGTATGAGACCACTTTATAAAACAGAGGACTTGGAGGAGCCACGACCTCCAGACAGAGGGGTGACCGCAGGGCTGTGGCAATAAGGAAACTCTCCCCTAGAGTAGGCCGACGGGCTGCGAGGCTCCCAGTTTGACCCTCATCAGATTCGTGTCTGACCCTCCATCAGCAGAGTGCCTGCTGCTGGCCTCTTTTCAAAGAGCAGCCCCAAGACCCTCTTACTCTTCTGAAGGGAACAGGCCAGCTGAGTGGGACTCCTTGTTGCCGCCAGCCCCTCCAGCCCAATCTTCAGCACATCCATCCAAGGGTACTGTTGTGATGGGAAATACTGCCTCCAATCAGTAGGGTGTTTGGATGGAGTTAACTGATCTTTGCATAAAAATATACTGAATCACACATACACACATGAGTACACACACACTAACACACATGCCAATCCTCTGTCAAAATAGTTTAGGTGATTTCTCTTGATGCAAAGCTGTGATTCCTGCAGGAATATGAAAACCAAGAGAGAGAAAACATATCCCTCAAGACTCCAGAAAAACAAAAAACAAACAAACAAAAAAATATAGTGAAGCTTAGAAAGAATTCATAAACCATCCTCATGTGAAAACCTTACCCAATGGACAGAAAACCCAATTGTGTTTACACATGTATTAGAATTGATGAAATGGTTCATTTTCAACACAAGTCAGGATTTTTTTTTTCATTTTAAATTTTCAGTTGAGAACATCTCCTATTACAGAAATCCTATGCAGCCCATGGATGGCTTCTGACAAGACCAAGGAGCTTGATACCTTAGTGATGTAAGTTCAGTGATAATCAGGATGCAGTATTCAGTTGCAAAAAAAAATGTAATAAAACCACGGAGAGGAAGTGGGAGCAAAAGGCAGAATGAGTGTCTGATTTCCTGGCCTGTGCAGCTCACACAGAAAGGTCAGGGCAGAGTGGCGGGACAGATGGCCAGTGTACAGGTGCAGGAATGGAGGTCCTGTGTGATGGCGGGCAGGCAGGATTTCAGAATACGCCATGCCACACCCTTCTAGTGCCAAAGTCCATCCAACACGGGACTGATGGGGAAGCCCTGAATGGTTGAGCATGGGTGGTGTGAGCCCCACCAAAGCAGAAGAGTGCTTGAACAGTCAAGTCCTCCCTGTGTAAAGGACCCCACTCCCCCACCCAAGGTCAAAGTGATGTGTCTTTTAGAGGCTTTGGGACTTTTGTAAGTGTGAGCCCACAGTTGCAGTGAATATGCTGTGAGAAAACCCTTCTGAACTGATTGAGGGCTTATCACTAGATCCAGCTAAGATCCGTATTTCAGTCATTTTGTAAAGTCCCACTCTTACAACAAGCTTCTGGGTTTTAAATACCTCTGTCCAGCAAGTAAACATCCCCCACTTTCTGTTCCCAGTGTCCCCCCGCCCCACCCCCTGTCATGGTGCTTTTTGTTGCATTAAAAGTGCCGGTCAAACTTTGATAGTATTTTTTTATAGTTGGTGCAGAGTGGAATAACTCATGGATTATTTCAATATTTTTGTAATAAAAAATATAGGGTATACATATAGGCATCATCACTTTTTTTATAGACCTGGGATCATTTAAAATACTTTAAGCATCATAATTACTTGGGATGTAGAAACTGGTCCACAGATCCCATCTGCTTGCCTCAGCAGATCGAGAACACATGTCTCTTGCAAGATCATCCTACTTTGCCATGTCGGTGCCCCCAGGAACCTGGCCAGGGGTGCTATCAGAATATCAGGGGATGAGAGAATCAGCTTAACTAGAAAGGGCTTGTCAAGACTGGCCAATGTTTCCCAGGAAACCAAAGATGGAAGTGATGACTCTTCCATCTCTTAGGACAAACCTGACCACAATGGGCAATGTCTTGGATGTCCTTTCCCAGTTTTATATCTACCCAACTGATGCACTAAATATTAGTCAAGTCACTTTTTAAAAAAAAAAAATGTCAGTTTAACTTAATTATTCAGTTATTTGGACTGTCCAATTCACTTAACAGTCAAGTTCTAGAGCCACTACCTGTCACGATTGTGTCGTACGGAGGCAGCCGTCCCTATGATGACACCCACAGCAAGTGACAGGGGGCTCGAACTAGGACTTCTTTTGGTACTTAAGTCCAAAGGCAGTGTTTAAAAAGTAGGAGATTTTTATCAGTAGACATATTTTCCTAGTACTCCGTGATGGATCCTCCAAGCAGCAGTCCACTAAAAAATAATAACCTTTGGTTTGGATGTGAAAACGTTACCTAGTCACCAGGAAAGGCCCAGAAAGATGCTCTTCCTGCCAGCAATTGGTAAAAACATTCCACTCCCCACTCTAGAAGGGAAAAATGATTATATTGGCAAATTCTTCACTTTGGTGCCGGCCCATGGGTCATTAGCTTCCTTAATTAATGATCTTATGAAACTGAATCACTCAGTGGAACTACCCCTTTGATTCCATGAGTAAATCGCAGATGATAATGTCAGTCAACAAACACAACAGGTCCCATCACTCTTCAATCATGTAAATCCTAAGTTATTTCTCAACTTGATCCTTCGTTTAACAGGTGAAGAATCAAAATGAGTGCTGTGTGACTAAAAAAATGCTGTACTGTGCTTTGTCTTCAAAGTGAGAATGCAGTCAGGAGAGTGCAAGTTTGAAATTTTCAGTGATTTTGCCAAATACTGTAAATACTCTGTTATCCAACATACTTAAAAGGTGAGGGTTTAGTCAAAAATGCTTGTTAAGGAAATTACATCTCCACCATGTTATAAATAACAAGACTTCTCAAGATTACAGACAAGAACAGCAACACAACAACAAATGTTACTTCCAAGGAGAATCATGGCTTAATCTTGCTTCCATGATTCAGAAAGCCCTGTGTTGCCATCAAGAATGTATTTGTCTCAGATACACTGATAACAGAGCATTTCCAGTATTAGGATTTAAAGAGACATTGTCAACGTACAAAGGAACAAAGTTTGATTTTCATATTTATACTTTAGTGTAAACCCTAAGATTTTCTTTTCAGTTGACCACTAAATTCTCCACAGAGAGTAGCTCAAGAATCCAAAAGGAACAAGCCTTACAAATCCGAACCTACAAATTTGTTAGCATACAAATTGGAAACACTGGATTCTTTATCTGTGAGCTCCAACGTCCTGTGCTGGGTCTGTTGGGTTACTTGGGGCGGGGTGGGGGGGGCAGTGAAGGGTTTGTCCTTAGTACTTAATTTTCATAGGACCACGAGTTTTCTAAAAGAAAATATTATAAATTTTCTTCACTTTTAAATGAACATTTCTCAATGAAACTTAAGATGAGGACTGTATGTATCCTAACCACACTGAGACTTTAAGTATTTGTGTGGAAGAAAAAAAAAAAATTTCAATATAAGTCAAAGTTTGGTCCCTCAAAATGACTATGTCCTTTAAATCTTCTCCCATTCCTGTTGTTCTTCTTAACTATGTACTATCTAGTTCAGTAACCTGGACTTTGTAGACACTTTGTTACTCTTCTTTTATGATATTGCTGTGAACCCAACAAATGAAATAAATTCTCCTACCGACATGGCAAGAATATGCAATTCAAGTATTAGCAAAAGAAAAATACAGAGATGATCTGAAGATGTATTTATACTTAATTTCTAAATGGCCCATTTCTTTGGCTCTATGAATAAATGAAGTAATAGCACTGACCAATTAAAAGTGAATAGGAATAATTGAAATCTCAATGACTTTTTAAAAAAGATATTGTATAGATGTGTGTTTAGTATGGATAACACACATATTACATATAATATATGCACACACACAACTAATGGATGAAAATAGTAAAATATATACTGTTGTTAATGCATATAAATGTGTGTTATTGACACATAAACTTTTAGATAAAAAGTTTTTCCCCACTCTTTCAGCATCAGCTCAAGTGTAGAGCCCATATCTGTAAGACATCAACACACTTGAACTTGGGTTGGAAATGCTGCTGTTCAGTCACTAAGTCATGTCTGACTTTTTATGACCCCATGAAATGCAGCCCACCAGACTTCCCTGTCTTTCACCATCTCCCAGAGTTTGCTCAAACTCATGTCCATGAGTCAGTGATGCTATCTAACCATCTCATCCTTGGCCACCCTCTTCTCCTTTTGCCTTCAATCTTTTCCAGCATCAGGGTCTTTTACAATGAGTCAGCTTCGCACCAGGTGGCCAAAGTATTGGAGCTTCAGCTTCAGCATCAGTCCTTCCAATGAATATTCAGGGTTGATTCCCTTTAGGATTGTCTGGTTTGATCTCTTTGCAGTCCAAGGAACTCTCAAGAGTCTTCTTCAGTTGGAAATATCTAGATATAATTTAGCATTTTTAGCTTGAATGAGTTTTCCCACTCCTCAAGGAGCTCGTCTTTAGAGAGACAAGAATAACTTTGAGTCATTTCAAAGATTCTTTCTCTGAACATATTGAAAGGAGTAAAGAAAACATCTGGTGTCCTTAGCAGGATTATGTAAGGTTACGTATTTGCCTTTCAGTGTACCAAATACCATTGAGGGAAACACGTTCTGACACAATGTTTGGACAAGAATCCAGTGATATTTTTTAATCTGATGAACCATTTCTGAGATTACATATATGTTCCCCGGCATTCTCTTGAGTCTTTGCCCTTAGCAATTGCTGTTTCCATATAAAGCTTGGATGAGGTGCCTGCATTTTGATGTTTTTAAAGCCTTTTAAAAAAAATAGCTCAGGCTCTCTTTCAGAGAAACAACTCAGAAAATGGTTGATGTGTGCAGTGCAAACACGGCAGGACTGAGGTGGTCATTTCTCTAATTTCAGTGATGGGCGCAAATCGACTCATGTTCGTTTATCTTCAGCAACCCGGTCACATTTGAAAACAATCAAATTGCTGGTTTCTGCCAGTTTGTGACTCATAGCCCCGCCCCCCCCACCCCCCAACTTCTACCCATCTGAAGCAGAAGCCTTTTAAACTGGCCAAGTATTTGTCATTCCTCTCTATCACCCCCAACCCATCCCTCTGTTTCTAAGTTTCTGGTCCCCACTTGTATCAGACCATCTGGATATT